TGGGCCCTGGGGTGACCAGTGAGAGGAGGTGAAGGGCAGAGCATGGAGGGTGAGACACCTGGCCCAATCCAGTCTGGGGTCAGTCAAGGTGACTTCCTGGAGGCAGTGGCACTTTTAGCTGCAGATGGAAGGGAAGAAGCACTAGGACTGGTGACACCCTGGGTCCCTGGAGACCTGCACTGGAATGCAAAACCAGCTTGAGTCAAGATCCCAGTTGCTGGGGGTAAATAGCGTGCATAGGAACCCTGAGGCACAGATGGGTACCCCCACTGGTCCTGGCCTCTGGAACCTGTTCTCAGCCAGGAGGAGCCCCCAGCAGACCAGGGCGTCTGCAGACACAAACAAGACCATTTTGAACTGGCGGCATCTGTGAAGGCAGTGCCATGACCTCTAAGATTTGGGTGAATGTTCAGGTCATTGCACTGAAGTGTGTCCCACCATCAGGATCTTAACCCAACAGCTCCTGCTTTTGTCACTGAAACCCACCGCAGGAGGCATCATTCTGCACAGGAGATGCAGCTGGGCTTCCTATCTTGTGCAAAAGCAGATGGGCAATGTGGGGGGGGCATATGCTCTCCTGACAGCAGCCACTATCTGACCACAAAGGAGTGGCCAAGGCCTTTAGTGACAGACCCACCACCTGTATCTTCAGCTGCTGAGCACATTCCCACTGGCCTGCTGCTCTCATGAGAAAATATGCATTGCCTTGGCTGCCCTACTGCTGCCCAGGCCTCTGCCATGGGCCCTTGAGATTGCTCCAGCCTATAAGAATGATGAGCACCCTCCAGTCTGTGCCCTTCCCTCAGTAACGGGGGAGCGGGTGACACTTCTCAGGACTTGTGAGCCCCACTGCCTCCCCTGGGCCATGGGTTGGAGGGCTGTGCACCAGGAGACACCAGGTTCTTTCTTTGGTCATCCATGGAAAGTCACAGCGTGACTTGTGACTTGTGGCTCTCCCTTGTGACTTTCTTATTTGTCTTTTAACTTGTTTTCTGGCTTTTAATCTTTTTGGCTCATGTCATCAGGTATTAGAGGAGGAAAATTTTGTTTCTCATCTCTTTCTTTCCTTTGGTTAAGTTCCCACAGACATTGATTTATCTGCCACAGCAGGCATGTGCTCCTGAGTTGCTTCTGACCTGAAGAAGGAAGTGGCAGGCTTCTTCCTCTTGCGTGTTGGCCCTTCTGAATAAAATGCCCAGAGACCACCCCAACTGAATAAGGCCATCAGAAGCCATGAGGGGTGTTTGCCTGCCAAAGCTGGCCTAAACTCTGGCTGTCTGGTAGGCCATTAACCAGACCCTGGGGAAGGATGACCCTGGCTGCAATGGGCTCACAAGGCACCATGACACTATGAACCTTGAAGGCCAAGGCAGCCACTGGGCTTACCATTTGCAACCTCCCTGCCCTTCCACAAGACCCACCCTCCTGGTCACCCAGGCAGACAGACTGGGCATCATCTCTGCGGGCTCCACCTGCTGGGCTTCAGGGTCTGAAGTCCAAGAAGCAGAGTGAGTGCTGTCCTCCCACCTCCCATGGCACTGACCTGATGGTATTTTGCTCTAGTTTGTACATTGGAGCACCAGACCAGCCAGAAGGCCAGTGCCAGCTCATCGACTGTTTTCAGAAGCTACTGTATGGATGTGCCATAGCAAGGGAGATGAGTGACCAGGGCAAGCTCTCCTCCTGTCCTCAGTCGTTTGGCCCTCATCTTGGCTTCAAGTCCTACTCAGAACAGAAAAGCCAGGAAACATCTTCCCAGTCACCTGATCTGGAGGGGGAAGGGCCCCCATGAGGCAACAGCTGTGAGCAGGGGCGAGAAGGCCAGCTCAGCATTGCTGGGGCTCAGTCATGGCTCACCCCAGACCATCCAAGTGCACCCATCCAGATGCCATGCCTGGCATCCACTGGGGCAATGCTGTAGCCCCTGTCCTTCCCTTGACATGTGCTTGTGACAGGCAGAGGCAGGGGCGGCCTCCTAGACTGGGCCATGGGGCACTACAGAAGGAGCCCAGCCTGCCATGTGGTCTATAGGCCCTGGACCCACAACAGCTTCCCTGACCCCAGCTATGCACAGAACTGCCAGGCAGGGAGGGCAGGCAGGAGATGCCTCTGAAAGGCTCAGAGAGATCTGCCAAGACTGGTTTCTGTCATGTGGGGGGACCATGTAGGACACATGTCTGCCAGAGGTGAATGGGGTCCTCTGAAGCTGGGGAATGAGGGCCAGGGGTTGGGGGTGGGGACTGGGTGATGGGAGCTGGGCGTGGGGATAGAGGCAAGGACTGGGGAAGGGATCAGCTGGAAGAAAGGGGCTGTAAGGTCATAATGGGTACTTCCCCTCGCCAGTCATGAACCAGAGGTCTGAAGAGCCAAAGCACGCACTTCCTGTAGGGGCTGGAGTGCCTCAGCCTCTGTTCCCTGAAAGGGAGACAGGAGGCCCCAGAGCAAAGGCAGCAGCAGGAAGAGCCTCCAGGGAGGGATTGGGAGCTAGTGGAAGCCCTGCTGTGAGCTTTGAGCACCTCCCACCTCAAAATGAGCCCCGGAGGACAGGCCGGGACACCAATGCTACCCCAGGAAGTAGGACTCCAGCCTAGGAGGAGAAGACAGGCCTGACCCTACCCCATCACCACCTAAGGCAAAGGAGGGGAGGGGCCATGAGGCTGTAACCCACACCTCAACCTTCTCTCCCCCACCTCTGAATATGTGTCCCTCACTCTGTCTACAGCCCCAACCCCAGGGGCATCTCCCCATCTCTCAAGACCCAAGGACAGCATCCTGGGAGTGTGATTCAGAGGGCCTGTTCCACCTGCCCCTGTGGGAGCCCCTGTGGCCCTGCTCACCATCCCCATAGGCTCCCTAACCCTCAGTCAGCACCCAGGCCTCCTGCCCTTCATACCCCAATGCATCCACACTGCACCAGGAGGAACCTTCTAGTGCAAGCCCCCCTACATGCTCAGCCTCTCCTCTGGGCCCTCAGGACACCTTTGAAAGCAGCCACCTCAAACCACCTCAGTCCTCCAGGCACATGGCAAGCCTCTGGGTCTTCACACAGCTGTTGCTCTGCCTGTTGTTACACATTTACTGGCACATACTCATGCACACATGCACACACGCACACATGCACACACGGATGCGTGAACGTACACTCACATGCTCATACTCACACTCACGCAGACTTCTCAACATGCCGGGCACTCACCCTGCCCCACCCAGTGTTCACGGTACCCTCACACTCTGCCAGTCTTCAAAACCCTGAGGCTGAGTCTATGACTGTCTCCCCCAGCAGTGGCCTGTCCCTGAGCACACCTGCCAGGTTGACACCTGGCCCAAGGGAGCTTATGTGCATCTACCTCCACAAAGGCCCATACCTGGTGCCCCTCTGAGTCCTGGCACCCAACCCCAGGTCTGACAGGTGTGGATGCAGACCACCACCCTCATCTTCATGGTCTGAGTCAGGGGAGAGCAGCCAGATGGGTGTGGGGAACAGGGACCCTTTCCTGTAGACTATTGCTCGGCACCCTGTACTGCCCTCCTGAGACCCTTCCCTGAGGGCAAGCAGCCCCAGGGGACCTGGAGGGAACCCACCCTTGTGGAGACCCAGGGGCCTGTACCTGCAGGGAAAAATGAACAGGTAGAATTAATGAAATGGGACCAGAAAGAGAAAGCAGCCTCTCCAGCTGAGACCATGACAGACACAGGAGGCTGCACTACAGGTTAGTGATGGACTGGGGGTTCCACCAGCCCCCATATTCTGGCTCAAGAGCTTTCTCCAGCTAAGAACAACTCAAATGTGGGGGCCAGGGCAGGGGCATGAAAAGGCCTCAGACATGGTGTTGGATCAGCTCTTATTTCCAAAGAAAAAAGAAAAGCAACCCTGGGTGCTAGAGCCTCCTCTGCTCTGTGGCCCGCCCACCCACCTGGCCCCCACTCCAGCCTCGGGGTTTTGGCTGAGCCAGGAACCACAGTGGTAACTGGGACCACAGTAATTGACAACTCTACAAAAACCCAGTCAGAGTCCCCAGGGCAGCTGTGGCTGTCCCTCAGGGCTCAGTGCCAGGTGCACAGTGGGGGTGGGTAGGAGCCTGCCAGGGGGATGATTTCCAGGCCAAGGGACAGGGGAGGGGTGGCAGGGTGAGCAGGGAAACGTGGCCTGTGGGGCCAAAGCAAGCCAGGTGTCAGAGAGGATGTCCAGACCCAGATCTGGGGACTGAGGCCATAGGATACCTGCCAGGGACACCAGGTGGAACTGTCACCAAGTGGAGAGCACAGTGTGCATCTCCTCAGACTCCCTGAGGAGTTGTCTGAGGCTGCTGCTCAGGGCCCACTCTGTGCCTCTGCTTACTTCCAGCACTGGGGCCAGGGCACCTGGTCACCATCTATCAGGTGAGTCTGGCATCCTGCCATGTTTGAAGGACTCAGGTGTGCCGACCCATGTGCAGTGCTTGGTGTCAGAGGTGGGACAGGAGGGAGAGATGCATTTTGAGAGGGGGAAGCAGCAGGGAGGAGGCTGTGCTGCTGGTGACTTCCAGCACTGTGGCCAGGGAGCCCCAGTCACTGTCTTCCCCGCTAATGACGCCCCTGTCTGCTGCCCTGCATTTCTGGGGTCCTTGTGGCTGTGGGCAGGTTTATGTCTGGCAAGAACCATGGACTGTGCCCCTGTGCAATGCTTTTGATCCCTGGGGCCAGGGGACCCTGGTCACTATCTCCCAAGGTAAGATGACTTCCTCTATCTGCCTCTGCTGTGTGTCTGGGGAAGACATTTCCTCAGAGAGTTTTGCTCTGTGTGGGGCCCTCAGGAATCCCCAGGGGCTGCTCCTGAGGCCATTAGGATCTCTGCTCTGCAGAAGGCCTTTTGTCTGAAACAGGTGACCTGTGCTCTGGCAGACAGAGTGGACTTATGTGTCAGAGGCATGGACACCTGAGGAGGCAGCACTTTCTGTGTGGCTGTAGGCTGCACAGGGTCCAGTTTTTGTACACAGCCTAACGGGGCCTATGGCAATGTGATGACTTCTACTACTGGGGCCAGGGCACCCTGGTCACCGTCTCTTCAGGTAAGATGGCTAGATGGCTTCCTCTCTCTTCCTCTGTCCTGGGCCAGGAAAGAAATTTCCAGAGAGTTGTTGCTCTGTGCAGACAGGGGCCCTGTGCTATGGAAGGCAGAGTGGGCTGTATGTCAGTGGCACAGGGACATGAGGAGACAGAATTTTCTTGGTGGCCGGCGGCAGGGCAGCTGGATGGCTGGGTGGGGGGGCAGGTTTTTGTACACTGCTTAATGGGGCCCATGGCAATGTGATGCTTACTTCGATAACTGGGGCCAGGGAACCCTGGTCACTGTCTCCTCAGGTAAGATGGTTTCCTCTCTTTTCATCTGTCCTGGGGCTGGGAAAGACATTTCTAGAGAGTCGTTGCTTTGTGTGGACTTGGGGCCTGTGCTCTGGAAGGCAGAGCGGGCTGTGTATCAGGGGTATGGGAACCTGAGGAGACAGAGCTTGCTGTGGTGGCTGGTGGCTGGTGGCTGGGTAGGGGGCAGGTTTTTGTACACAGCCTAACAGGGCCCATGGCAATGTGATGACTTTGACTACTGGGGCCAGGGCACCCTGGTCACCGTCTCCTCAGGTGAGTCCTCACAATCCCTCTCTGCTCTCTTTCTCTGAGGGTTTTTCATGCATTTTGGGAGAAAGTGAGGGTGTCTGGGTCTCAGGTCCAGAAGGACTGGGGCCAGTCTGGGATTCAGAAAGGGTCCAGGAGGAGACCACGGTCATCAGGGATAAGGAGAAGAGGGTCCAGGTTCCTTTCCTCCTGGGCTCTGCAGCTGGGGACCTCTTTGAGGTATTTGTCGCCCTTGGCCTCTGGGCCCCATCGTCCCCTCTGCTCCCACTGGGCATTTTCTGAGGTGGACCTGCGGCCTAGCTGGGCACCAGTTTTTGCCTAGGATCCTAGCATGGTTGTCACAATGTGGTTTCAATACTGGGGCCAGGGGACCCTGGTCACCGTCTCCTCAGGTGAGTCCTCACCCCATTCCCACTGGAACTTCCCTGGGGGAGTCTTGGGTGTCAGGATCTAGATATCAGAGACAGGGAGGCATTTTGGAAGTCAGGAAAGGGAGCCAGGGAGTCTGGCCTCCCCTCCACAAATGTGCTACAGTGCAGGAACAGACAGGGCAGTGTGGCTGCCCTTTCCTCAGTTCCAAGGACTCTGCCTCACCCACTGTGAGGTTGGGTGGCTGTCTGTGTTGCTTGGACTTCTGAGTCCCAGTTGGCTCATGATCAGGGGCCCCAGGCAGCCAGTGGTCAGGCTCCTGTGGGTCAAGTTAGGGGATTGGCTGACAGAGGGGCCCAGGAACCTCCAGTTCACTCACTGGGATGGTCAGCATCCATGTGGTGTCTGGAGACAGCATGGGTCTCCAAGCAGCCTCAGGCAGTGCCGGGCAAGCACCCTGGTTTTTGTGGGGTGAGGATGGAGTTTGCGGCACTGTGATTATTATGGTATGGACTACTGGGGCCAGGGGACACTGGTCACCGTCTCCTCAGGTAAGAATGGCCTTCTCAGGCCTTCATTTTCTGTTCCTCTTTGTGGGTTTTTCTGGGCATCGGTGGTTGGTCCTTGGGACGTGTGGCCCTGGAAACCTGGGCAGGCAGGCTAGAGGGGACAGGGGACAGGGCTCAGGAACTTCAGAGCCTCTGGATTTCCTGTCACTTTTCAGAAACTAGCATAATTCTGGCATGTCCAGAGAGGCATTGAGCCCCTAAAAGAGGGGCTGCCGATTTGAAGGGCCACTCTGAAGCAAAAGGCCTGGGGCCTTAGCCAAGGACTTGTGGGGCTGCTGCCGGACAGTCTTGCCAGCTGAATTGGGTGTCAGTGAGGAGGGTGCCTGGCCCTGGTGATTGTGAACCAGGAACAACAGAGTGCTCAGGAAGACATTCCTCAGACTTAGGAGTGAACTCCTGTACTAGATTGGATTTTATTCCAAGTCCATTACCTTTATATAATGCAATTTAAAAAATTGCTTGATTGTACTTAGGCTTCTTTATTGGTTAGGAAGAGTGCTGTCCAGTGAGGAGAGACCTATGGCTCTGGTGTTGGGGACAGTGGGTGCCTGGCCTCTGAGGCAAGAAGCAGCCAAGGCCAGAGAGCTCAGCCCCAGGAGGCAGCTTCTAACAAAAAGCGATTTGCTCCCTTAAGAGGCTCACTGAGTATTGAAAGACAGGATGTCTTGGAAGTGGTTCCTTTAGAAAGTGTTTAAACAAAATTATGACTTGAAAATGTGAGAGTTTTCAAGTATATTACATTTTTAAATCTTATTATTTAATTAATCACATCTTTCTGGAATTGATAGTGGTGCAAATTTGGCCAAGAAATGGTAAGTCGGAACTGTGAGCCTCAAATTCATGACTTAATTTTGACAATAATAAATGACGGTTATTTTTTAAATTAATTGAGGGATGTTCTGAGTGGATGGAGCTGAGCTAGTGAAAATGGCCGCTGGGGCTGTACACCTGCTGCTGGTGGCCGGAAGCGGTGATCTCTGTCTATTTTAGGAAGCAAGAAAACACGAATGACAAATTTATGGTTAATGGTTATGAAGAAGTGGTTTCGGATAGTTTTGCCCACAAATCTAAAAGTGTTTTTCTGAGCAAAACAACACCTGGCTGATCTGAGTTCTAAAATAAGGTGGGGGTGCTGACAGAAACCAGGGGGTTCCTTTTTTAACTATGTGAGTTTAACTTTTCAGTCTTAGCTTATTAACTTCTCACTTATATTTATTTTGAACTTAAGATATTTAAGAAATTAAACAGTCTTAAAGGTCATTTATCAGTGCATTCATATAATTTTTTTAAAATTAGTTATCCCTTCAAACGGTGATTGGTCTCACACTGATTCTCTGTCCCCAAAGCACTGTCTTTACAATGACTGCTTGCAGGTTTTTAACTTAATCTATTTTCTCTTCATGATGAAGAAAGACTAGTATTCTATAAAGTTTCCTTTGTTTCAGTATTTTTAAGAGCACTTTTCAAGTATTCCTTTGGGGTCAAATTTAGGTGAAATGTGTATAATTTCCCTGAATTATTTTGGTTAAACATGTTAGTTGGTGGATCAAGAGGAAGCCAGTGAGGAACTGAGTCAGAAAGGAGCTGGGCACTTTGCAAGGCCATTTTCTGACTTGAACTTGCTCTGGTGGAGGGACTGAATGTAGCCCTGAGCCCCAGGCTGAGGACACATAGCCTTGGCTTCTGCCACCAGCTCAGCTGGCTATCCTGAGTCATGAATCGTGTGAGTATTGGATTTGGAGAAATTGTTGCACGACAAAGACCCCACAGGACTTTCAAGTGACCAACCAGGCAGACATGGTAAGAGAGTGGCAGCCTGCCACTGGCTCGCTTGGGACAGACAGATGGCCTGATGGTTTTGCTTTCACCTGCACCTGAAGGGGGATCTTGGATGATGGGTGCTCAGTGAGGGCAGAGAGGCTTGTTTGTGTGATCCCTTGTCTAGGTCACTCACATTTAACTTTCTCTAAAGAACATTCCAGGAAAAAGGTGCAAGTGCTGACCAAATGCTACCCACCATCAATGCTGTGACTCAGACAGTGCCACACTTCTGTTGTCTCTTAATCAGTTGTAAACTCAGCCTTGGTTTTTAAGTCATTATTGCACATGAGAAAGTAGTCCATGTCTTCTAAAGAACTTTGTGCTGAAAAGCAGAATTGTAAGTGGAGAATTCAGAAAAATGCATTTCCTGGCAATTTCTAGTGATGATGTTTCTCTAGAGGGGATATAGTTAAAGTTGGGAGCTGATTGCAGGGCATGTACCAGGAGGAGAGGGATGGCAGGGTCCACCCCAACCTCTCCTCTCCACACAGAAGCAGTGCCCCTACAATTCCTGAGAGATGTGTGAAGGACTTAAAGTTGCCTGGACATATTTTTAAGATGTTTAAGAAATTAAACAGTCTTAGGGACCATTTATCAGTGCATTCATATAACTGTTCATATATGGTCATTGAAGGAGGGTAGTGATTGGTACTGCTTGGGAGCTGGAAGCCAGCTGGGGCTAGGACTAAGGACATGGAACTGGGCTACTTAGGGATGAAAAGCAGGGAGAGGCCCTGGGAAGGAATGACCATGGGCTCAGCCCAACTGTACGGCACTCATGGATGAGAATGGCTGCAGCTGAGACAAGCAGCTCTGCTGGCCTGACCCTTTCTGGCCAGAGACACTGGGCTGCTCAGTGCAGGCCTGAGCTAAGCTGAATGATACCAGGTTGAAATGAGCTTTCTGATCTGAGCTGAATTGGGCCGAACTGAACTGAACTGAACTGAACTGAACTGAACTGAACTGAACTGAACTGAACAGGGTGAGCTTAGCCCACTGAGCTGAACTGGGCTGACCAGGCTGAGAAGATCTGATCTGAGCAGGGCTAGGTGAGTAGAACCGGGCTGGGTAGGGTGAGCTGAGCTGAACTGTGTGAGCTGAGCTGAGCTGGGCTGAGCTGGGCTGAGTTGGACTGAGCTGGGCTGAGCTGGGCTGAGTTGGACTGAGCTGGGCTGAACTGGTTGAGCCGAGCTGAACTGTGTGAGCTGAGCTGAGCAGAGCTGAGCTGGGCTGAGCTGGGCTTAGTTGGACTGAGCTGGGTGAGCTGAGCTGGATAAGCCAGGCTGAGATGATTTAAATCACCCAGTCTGGGTGATTTAAGCTGAAATGGGTGAGCAGAGCTGGGTGAGCTGAGCTGGGCTGAAACTAGGTGAGCTGAACTGAGCTGAGCTGAGTTGGGCTGAGCTGGGTTGAACTGGGCTGAGCCAGGTGAGTTGAGCTGGACTGTGCTAAACTAAGCAGAGTTGAGCTGACCTGGGCTGAGCTGTACTAAGCTGCGTGAGCTGAGCTTGGTGAGCTGAGCTGGGTGAGCCAGGCTGAGTTGGGCTGGGCTGAGCTGGTTGAGCTGAGCTGAACTGCATGAGCTGAGCTGAGCAGAGCTGAGCTGAGTGGAGCTAACCTAGGCTGAGCTGGGTGAGCCAGGCTGGATTGTGCTAAACTGAACTGAGCTGAGTGGAGCTGAGCTGGGCTGAGCTGGGCTGGACTGGGTGAGCTGTGCTGGATTAGATAGAGCTGGTTGAGCTAAACTGAACTGGATGAGCTGAGCTGAGTTGAGCTGAGCTGGGCTGAGCTAGACTGAGCTGGATGAGCTATGCTGGACTGTGCTAAACAGCAGAGCTGAGCTGAGCTGGGTGAGCTGTGCTGGATTAGATAGAGCTGGTTGAGCTGAGCTGAACTGGATGAGCTGAGTTGAATTGAGCTGAGCTGGGCTGAGCTGGACTGAGCTGGATGAGCTATGCTGGACTGTGCTAAGCTGAGCAGAGCTGAGCTGAGCTGGGCTGGGCTGAGCTGGGCTGAGCTGAGCTGGACTGAGCTGAGCCGGGTAAGCTGGGTGAGCTGAACTGAGTGGGTTGGGTGAGCTGGGTGAGCTGAGCTGGGTGAGCTGGGCTGAGCTGGACTGGGCTCAGCTCGTTGAGCTGAGCTGAACTGCATGAGCTGAGTGGAGCTGAGCCGAGCAGAGCTAAGCTGGGCTGAGCTGGGTGAAACAGGCTGAGCTGAGCTGGCTGCACTGGGCTGAGCTGGGTGAACTTACCCAGGTGAACTGCACTAGGTGAGGTATTCCACACTGGGTGAACTGAGTGAGCTGGGCTGGTCTGGGCTGGGCTGAGTGGAGTTGAATTGAGAAGAATTGGTCTGAGCTGTCTGGGTGGTAAGCTGGGCTAGCCACAGTAGGCTGAGCTAGATCCAGCAAAAATGGACTGGGTGAGCTGGCTTAACTTGGATGACTTTGATGATTGCTTTGGGCTGCATTAACCTGGTGGGGCCATGAAAGTCTCACTGGGCTGAGCTGACCACGCAGGTCTATCCTGGCCAACACTTAGCTGACCTCAGTGGCCTGGTGGTGCTCAGGCTATGTTGAGTTGAGTCTGTCTTGGTCTTGCCCACCACATACACACCATTCTTCAGGCACACAGGGTTGGACAATAGTGTGACTGAGCTGGGGCAGTGAGGGTTAGGCTCACAGGAGCTGCTTTCCTTGCTGGCAGCTGTCTGGGGCTCTTCCTGTGCTGGGGCTGAGCAGACACACTCCAGTGTTCAGAGGACTGATGGAGCTGGCCTGGGCCTGGGCCATCCTAAGCTGGGAGCCAGGGTGCAAGTGTTCTGAATACAGGGACAGTATTGCTGTCCAGATTTGCCAACTGTAACCAGTAGCACTCTTCACACCCATGCTTCAAGCCAGCTCCTGGGACAGGTTGGGGGCTGCAGCCATGAAAATGGCAAAGCCTCGGAGGCTTGTGGGATCAGCCCAGAGCTGCAGGGCAATGGGTCCTGACCCCTGACTAGATGAGCATAGAAAGTCACCTTCTCACCCCTTTCTCTTTTGTCTTTCTTGGGTCCTCAGATAGTGTGTCTTCCCCGAACCTCTTTCCCCTCATCTCCTGTGAGAACTCCCTGTCTGATGACAGCCGGGTGACTGTGGGCTGCCTGGCCAAGGACTTCCTGCCCAGCCCCGTCACCTTCTCGTGGAGCTATAAGAACAACAGCGGCATCAGCAGCCAGGACATCCAGAATTTCCCGTCGGTCCTGAGAGAGGGCAAGTATGCTGCCAGCTCCCAGGTGGTCCTGCCCTCTATCAACATCAACCAGGGTACAGATGAGTTTGTGCTGTGCAATGTCAAACACTCCAACGGTGACAAAAAAGTGCAAGTGCCAATCCAAGGTGAGACAGGGCCTCTTCTCAGCTGGGCAGGTGAGGTGGGGCCACTCCAGTCCAGGCTGACTGTGTCCTCTCACCACAGGTGCGGACAGTGGGGACCCACTGTCCCCCAATGTGAACATCTTCATCCCACCCCGTGATGCCTTCTCTGGTGCCAGCCCCCGCAAGTCCAGGCTCATCTGCCAGGCCACAGGCTTCCGCCCCAAGAAGATCTTTGTGTCCTGGCTGCAGGATGGAAAGCCTCTGGGCTCCAACTTCACCACAGACAAGGTGCAGGCTGAGCCCAAAGGGCCTGGACCCGTGACCTACAGTGTCAGCAGCATGCTGATGATCACCGAGAGTGACTGGCTCAGCCAGAGTCTGTTCACGTGCCAAGTGGATCACAATGGGCTGAGCTTTCAGAAGAACGTGTCATCTGTGTGTAATACTGGTGAGTGATCCTGCCCCTGATGGTGGCCCTCAACACACAGGCATCCACTCAAGTCTGCAGACACTGCCACAGGTGACATCAGCTTCTTCCCGAGCCTTGGCTTCCCAAAGAGGCCAAGGGCAGGGAGGGGCTGTGTGGGACATCTTGGGGCCATTTGTCAGGAGGGGCCCAGCACCCCACTGCAACAGGGTCCCAGGGCTCAGGAAAAGGTCAGCAAAACCAATCACTCAAACCCACTTTCTTCCCCCAGGTGCATCTAACATCAAAATCTTCACCATTCCCCCATCCTTTGCCAGCACCTTTCTCACCAAGAATGCCAAGCTGTCCTGCCTAGTCACAGACCTGACCACCTATGACACCCTGACCATCTCCTGGACCCGTCAGAATGGCAAGGATCTAAAAACCCACACCAACATCTCTGAGATCCTTCCCAATGCCACCTTCAGAGCTGTAGGAGAGGCCACCGTGTGTATGGAGGAATGGGAGTCAGGAGAAGAGTTCACGTGCACGGTGACCCACGCAGACCTGCCCTTCCCACTGAAGCACACCATTTCCAAGCCCAAAGGTAGGCCTTGCCATGCCCTTTACACTGCACAAGACCCCCATAGCCTTGGGAGGGGCTGGGAGCATGACTCTGTTCCCCCTGTTGTCAGGGGCAAATCCCACAGTACCCCAAACTCACCACTGCCTCTCCTCCCACAGAAGTTGACAAGCAAATGCCCTCTGTGTATGTGCTACCACCTACCAGGGAACAGCTGAGCCTTCGGGAGTCAGCCTCAGTCACCTGCCTGGTGAAGGGCTTTTCACCCCCAGACATATTCGTTCAGTGGATGCAGAGAGGACAGCCTATGTCTTCTGACATGTATGTGACCAGCTCCCCACTGCCCGAGCCCCAGGTCCCTGGCCGGTACTTCATCCACAGCATCCTGACCGTGAGTGAAGAGGACTGGAGTGCTGGGGACACCTATACCTGCATTGTGGCCCATGAGGCCCTGCCTCACTTGGTGACCGAGAGGACCGTGGACAAGTCCACTGGTAAACCCACCCTGTACAATGTGTCCCTGGTCATATCTGACATGGCCAGCACCTGCCACTGATCCCCAGCTGCCCCTCCAGGGTAGTACCTGGAGCCTCAGGCTGACCTGTCACTGTGTGTGTGCATGCATGCAAACTGACTGTGCCAATGAGGTGGGGTACTACATTCTATAAAAATTAGAAATAAAAATTTCCATTCAAAAGATGCTGGTCTGAGTAAACAATGCTCTCGCCTGCCTGGGCTGTGCTGCCCCTGCCTGCAGACCACCCTCTGCCTTTGTCCCTACCCCTGCCTTGCCCTGGCCTCCCAATCACCTCTGGGAGTGCTGACCCCCTTGCAGAGCACTCACCGTAGACAGATCCAATGCTCCCCACACCTCTGCTGCTGCTATGGGCACACAGGGATAGAGTTGTGTGACACATGTGCACACATATCCACAGACACACATGCACAAATGTGAACACATAAGGACAGCTGCAGACATGTACATGGGCACACATGCACATGGACACCAGCATACACATGCAGGGGTATACACACTTTCACACAGACACACATGAAGTGGACATGGGCACACAAATACCGCAGCAGGAAATGGACACACCAACACATATGCATACAGTAATACAAAATGCACACACATGCACACATGCATGGGCATGGACATAGAAAAACACATGTACACATATAGACATGTGTGCGGAGTGTACACATAGAGGCACATGAACAGATATGAACACATACACAGAACACAGTTGTACAGAACGGGCACACACAGACATAAACACACATGGACATGGACACAGAGACACATGCAGTGGACACGAGCACACCAACGCATGCACACATACACATAGATACATGTGCACATAAGGGCGCCAAGATATATACATACTTGTACACATATGCACAGATGTGAACACCCAGAGATGCATTTGTGCATATAAACAGAAACATGCCCATATGTGGGCATGTATACACAGGTACACAAAAATGCAGAGACACACATTCAATAAACATGAACACACAGACACTTGCATACATGCAAAGTTGTGTGCAAAGGCATGGACATATGTACACAGACACAGATATATGTATACTTATACACATGCACACACAGTCAGACACACACAGGTACTTCAAGTCATGGGCACAGAGATGCACACCGACACATGCACACATGAGCACACAGATATTTGCATACAAGTGCATGCAGGTGTGCACACATGTATGTGCATTTGGAGACACACATGCACATATATGTCCACCCTGTGTGCACGGGTCACTCAGTGCCTTTGCAGACATTCCTGCCTCTCTGCAATGCACCTGCTGCAAGGTTTCCTGCCCAAGGCCTGCTTGTTCTCTCTCAGCTTGGAGGTGCAAATGTGGGCCACCCAGCCAGGACTCTGACCAGGGCCACCATCCCAGGCCCAGGGCAAAGGGCTCAGAAAGCCACCCTGGCTGGCTGGGTGGCTGCAGCTCCTCAGGGGCACTCTGGCTCCATCTAGATTATTGATGAAATAGCAGGACCCACATTCACCTGTGAGCAGAGAGAGCTGAGTGTGTCCTGCAGGTAGAGAAGCTGATCTAGTGGCTCTGCCCCTGCAAAAACCTGGCCCTAGAAACACAGAGAAAAGAGACAGCCTGCAGCCAGGATTGAGGGGCTAAGGGCCCCAGAGAGTCTCCATCCCTAGCAGATGGCACTGCCCGCTTTGGGCCACCTCCTAGACACCCCACACTTCTGGCCCTTTAGGTACCTGGGCTCCAGACACCTCCAAAGACCTGTCAGCATTGGGGGTTCTGGACTACAGGCTATGTGTCTGCCTGCCCATCCCAGCATCACTCACCCCAGAGCCTCAGGCATCTGTCTGGCTCCCTGGTCCCAGAGCCTTGAATCCTAGTGGGGTGGACCAGCCAGAGCCCCACACAACCTCTCCAACATACCCTCCACTCCAAGAAAGAGAGGGAGAGTGAGAGACTCCTGAGGAAGCAAGGAAGGAGTTCCTCAGGCCCAGACTTCTGTCTATCCCCTGGCCGCCCCCCAACCATAAGCAACAGGAGGCCCCACACCCAGCCTCTCCAGCCCCAGTGGTCCTGGATGTGCTGCCCCCACCTCTAGCAGAGTCCACTGGGGCCCCTCCCCTACCCCAGCCTTGCCGCCCCCGTCCTCGAGTCCATGAGCTGCTCTGTCATCGACCCTGCACCTTAGGGCTCCCAGAACAGGTGCCTCTGCCCAACCCCTCATCAGGCTGTCAGAGTTCCCTTCCTCCTGCCCTCTGCTTCTGCCCTGCCATCCTCCCCACCTGGCCCTCCTGGGGGCAGCACAGCAGGAGACTGAGGGCAGCAGCAGAAGGGTGGGCTGCCCAGTGTGGGCAGACCCTGAGCCCCATGTTGTGTCCCCTACAGAGGGAGAGGTAAGTGCTGAGGAGGAAGGTTTTGAGAACCTGAACACCATGGCCTCCACCTTCATCGTCCTGTTCCTGCTCAGTCTATTCTACAGCACCACAGTCACCCTGTTCAAGGTAGATGGGCAAGTGGGCTGGCAGCAAATGGGCTGACGGTGTGTGTGTGTGTGTGTGCTAGGGCATGCAGACCCCCAGAGGAGCACCTCACACTGCCTCTCTCACCTGCAGGTGAAATGACCCACCGGACAGGAACACGGACACCAAGGAGCTGGTACCAAGGGGGCGCCCGCTGCCTTCAGCTCAGGGCCCTTAAATCTGCCCGTGCTACCTGCTAGCTGCCAGCACTAAGGAGTGGTTTCTCTGGACACGGCTTGTGTGGAGGGAGTATGGGGCACAGGTGTCGCTTTGCAATGAGTATGCTTGTCGCCTTGAAATAAATATGCACATTTTATCTTGTCAAACTGCTTCCTTTTGGAGGGTTTTTCCCCAACCACACTCCTGTGTGTTGTGTGAGCCTCCCAATAGGTGACCCAAATTCTGACAGGGACGTAGGAAAGAGAGGCCCCCTCTGCACAGCCCAGTGGTGGGGGCTGACCAGCCTGGGGAAGGGAGATGGCTGAGCTGTGGGAATGCAGGCTGGGTCTCCACAACACGACCTCAGCGCAGCCAGGCTGTGGCCTTCCCATTATTAGCAGGGACCATGCCCAGGACACCACAGCACACACTATCACTGTTGGTTGCTGGTCCTGGTGAGCCTAGCTACGTTGCGATCTTGACCCATGCCTTGCAGCATGCATGGAGTGTGCTGGTGGGATACTGGGGGTATATAGTAATGGATTACCAGTCAGGAAGGTACATGACAGGGAGGCAGGACAGCATGGAAAGGCTCTGTCCACTATGTCACCAAAAGAAAGGCAGGTGGCAGCCAGGCTCAGAAACAATGGTGGGGCTTGAGGTGCCAGGAGGAGGGAGCCCTATGAAGGGGATATGGACATGGAGGCATAAGTTGGGGCTTAGTGGGCTAAGGGCTGTGCTGTGGACAGCTGTGAGGACAGCTGTGGTGGCAAGGTTATGGGCAGAGGCATCCTGGGAGAAGGCAGAGAGACCAGGGCAGGCATTGGTGGGTACCTGCTGGAGTAGGGTCTGGGAGGAGGCCATTTCAGGTGCATAGGAACTGTATAGAGTTCACAGTGCTGGCCATCATGGGGTGTCCGTGTCCCTGAAGGGATGACTGGCTGTCCAGAATGGAATTAGAAAAGAATGTGGATCCCAAGAGGAATCTATCCCCAGCTGTGGGCTCCAGGTGGACAGCCTCCAGTCTCTGACTCAGCTCTGGATAATGGACCCCATCCTGACCCAACCTCACAGGCTGGGACACTCAGTCAGGGCCCCTCATAGCACAAGACAACACAGCATGTCTGAGGGCTCTTGTCCAGACATAGGCTGGCTGCTCACGAGGCTGTCTTGACAAAGAGCCACAGAAAAGGCAGCTTCAACAACGGAAATTCTGTCAGTCTCTAGAATCAGACCCAAGTGCAACTGGCTGCTCTCCCAGCAGGGCCGTGTCCTTTCCCTGGCGTCCAGGCATGGACACTCCTTGGCTTTCTCTCTGTCTCCCTCTACATGTGCTTTCACCCTGTCTGTCCCGGAAGGCCCCTTCTCATTAAGTCACAGTCATACCGGACTGGGGCTCAGCCCACTCCAGTGCAGCCTCACTTTTACTCACTCTTCTTATCCTCAGCCAACCTAACATTGCATCTTATGTGGTACTAGGGGGTTAGCATGTCAAGGTATGAATTAGGGGGATGCAACTCAAGCCATAACAGTCCACCCTCTGGGAACCCTTAACTCATATCCTTCTCACATGCAAAATATCCCATCCCGACATCCTCGCAGGTCCGAACCCATGCCAGCCTCAACTCTAAGTCCAAAGTCTCATTGGAATTAGGCACAGGTGAGTGACCAATTTTGGAACTGAGATCTTCCAAGTAGTGGCTGGTGGGTTGGCCATATGACCATCCCTCCCACTCCAGAGGGAGGAACTGGAGGAAGGGAGGGACGGAGGGAGAGAGAAAGGGAGAAGAGACCATGGGCCACAAGCAAGTTCAAAGCCTGCAGGGAAAATCCCATTAGATTTTGAGACCCCAGAAGACCCCTGGGCTCCGTGCTCTGTCCTCAAGTCCTGTATGGCAGCCCACCCTCTGAGCCATGACCACAGACCCTATGGTTCTGCCTCAAAGTCGGCCTTCCTCCCTCTACCCCAAGTGTCTTCAGTCCCTGTGGGCCTGCTCCTGCTCCTGTAAGATTCTCCTGCCCAAGTACTAACCAGGCCTAACCCTGCATAGCTTCTGAGATTAGATGAGATTGGGCGTGTTCAGAGTTGTATGGCTGTAGACTGTACCATTTTGAAAAACCTTGTGGGCCTCACCCCAATCACTTCATACTCTTCTTGGCTGGTGCTGAGCTGGCTGGTGGCATCTGTGAGGCATATGCATGACCCCTCAGCCCCACGTCATCTCTGTTTCCATAGCTTGCTCTTGGGACAATCTGGGGACCTCCCAGACAGGCCTGTCCTGGCCCCTTCTCACAGGCCCATTGGCGACACACCTCCTTCAGCTCCTCTGTCTCCTTCCATTTCAACAGGCAGCAAGAAGACATCAGATCACACCTTCAGCACTTCGCCCATGACCCCTACTTTGCACAAAACATTAGAACAGAATCCAGCCACATCCACAACCACTTTGCAACAAGGGTCTCCCACCCTCTGGTCTCCAGTGCTGAGGTTCTCGTTCCTGTCCAAGGCCACAGGCACATGGACCATTGGCATTTGTGAGGACATGCATGTTTTCTGAGTTGGGACAGGCTTTCTTTCTGGCTTCCCCACTTTCTGGGGCCCACACAGAATCATCTTCAATGCCCATGTTTCTACTGACCTCTCTGGTCCACTTGGGGTTTTCTGACACCCATCTCAGACTCTCCTGGCCTCCACCCACCATCTCATTCTAGATCCACATCCACACCCTGCTCCTGTACCAAAGTCTGCATTTGTTTCCTACCAGTGCTTCCTATGGGCAGCTGTGCCAAAGTCCCACAAACCAGGTGGCTTAGACAACAGTAATTCACCAGCTCAATTCTGGAGGATAGGAGCTGATAGGAGGTTGTAGCAGTAGCACCCTGAGGCTACAAGGGGAGGCCAAGGCCTCCCACTCTTGTTCCAGTGCTGCTGGCATCCTCCCCTGTAAGAGCTCCCTTTTCACATGGCCTCTCCTGGCATGTTCCTGTGTCCAAAACCCTCTCCTGTGAGGACAAAGTCCTGTGGGATTTGCAGCCACCCTGCTTGGGCATGACCTCAGTACCTTATAGGGAGGGAGGCAGTCCTGCCGAGAGAGACCAGAAAAAGATGGAGGCAGAATTGTCAGGTGCTCTGGAGAGAGGGAGGTAAGCTCTACCACCAGGGTCCCTGAGCCAAGGTCACAGTGCCGCCACCCAGCCCATGGCCTGCATGCCAGCTACATCACTGGGACATGTGGCCTGTCTCAGCCTTGACACTCAGTGTGGCAGCTGGGGGCATGGCAGAAGGCAGCTGCAAGCCAACTCATTAGGGAGCTGCCAACTCTGGGACAGCCTCACAAGGGCCCAGGCCTGGGCCACTGCAGGGTGACCCTGCTAGACATGGTCTGGCAGAGCCATCTGCCCCAGGACACCCACCCCAGGATAATGCTGAACACCTCTTCTCAGACCAGCCACTCACAGACTAGTCCCCAAAAAGCAGAGCCCCTGGGAGCAGGAGCTGGCAACAGAAGGGTCTGATCTCACTGTTTCCCAGGGAACCACACAGAAGTCCAAGCACACTGTGCCTCTCCCTCTGGGCAGCTAGGGGCCCCAGGCCCTAACCCACAGCATATCTGGACTGGGGTATCCTTTGGCAGCTGCAGAGGTTTAGAACAATAGATTCATAGAGCAGGGGGACTGGGAGTCCAAGGGATGGCCGAGCCTGCTCTCCAGAACACTCTGGACCCCCCCCCCCAGGACTGGGGCCTCTCTCTCCTACTGCCCTGTGCCCTTAGTGGTGCCCAGACCCCAGGATGCCAACTTGGTTTGTCTTCCAGATGCAGCTGTACTCCCCTTGGCCCAGGGGTGAAAAGCCCCAAAGGAAGGTGATCATGTAACCCTGGCCTGCTTGGTGACAGGGTTCAACTTGTCACCTAGCACTCAGGGGCACAGGAACTGCTCACAGATACTTCTGACCATGCAGAAGAAATAGGGGTTGCCTACTTCTCAATGACGATAATCTGGAAGCCTGGCCCACACAGTTGCAGTGTCAGTCACCTTTTCTAGACTTCCTAGTGGCCTCCAGCATGTCCAAATGGTCCTTGGACTGGCCCCAAGGACCAAAGCAGGGACCTGGGCCCCAATTGAACACTCAGTGAACCTTCAGAGCAGCCCCCTATCCTGACCCCTGCCCTCAGCTGCTCCATATCCAGCATTTGAATCCAGTCCTTTGGACACTGTCCCCAGCATGCAGGAGAAAGTGGCTGAGAATTCCTGCCTGTGTCCACAGAGCTCTACCCTCTGCTCCTCTGATTTTAGCATGTTGGGAAACTCAGCCCCCTCTGTGACCAGTGTGCCACCCCTACCAAAGAACTCCACCCAAGCCCCCACCACTGCCACAGACCAAGGTGAGGAGCCCCACCTGCCTGCCCATGCCCCTGGCTATGTCCTGCAGGCAGCCCTCCATGACTTCTACTGGGAATCAAGTCACACCCTGGTCAGGAAGGGCAGGGCCCTGAACATATGGCTACCAAGTACCAACTGCATGCCAGGCCCTGTGCTGGGTGCCACCCAGGCTCCTCATGTGCCAAAGACCCACCCATGTCAGACCACCAGGAGTACCATGGACAAGGTGGGCCCACAGGCCAGCATGAGGACCCATCTGCCCCATGGGCCTGGCTGAGACATGAGCTCAGTCAGGAGGCTTATGTGGGTGTGTGTTGCCCCCTGACTCTTAAATAATCATGTGTTGCTGCCTGAAGCCTGGGTGTTTGGCAGTACATCCAGTTCCTGCCCCGTGGGTGGAGGGTCCTCAGTGCTCTGAGCAGGGCAGTGAGTGAACACTAGGAGAGGTGTGATGGACGGACATGGGTTCCTGGCCTGCTGTGGCTCCCCTGTGGTAGCCCTGCCAGGCTGTAGGTCTGGATGCCCTCACTGGGCTGGAATCTGCTCTTACTGTGGTTCAGCAGTGCCCTGTGAAATGGTCCCTCTAGCTTCTGGTGAGTGGAGGCACATTCACTGAGTGTCCCTTTATAGCTGTGTGGGCTAAGGCCTGATAACTTGTTGGCTGTTCATCCCTAAACCATCAGCGTGGTTGCTGTGTGGATGGTCCTCGAGCACTTAGAGGACAGTTGTGACAGCAAATCAGACAGGGTCCCACCAGAGCTGGGAGGCATGTTC